GGCCTGGTTGAGTGGCTGGGCAGCTGGATGTAGTATTCCCCGTGATGAGACTGGTAATCAACTCCATGGTGAAATCTACTGGGAGCAGCTGAGTAGATACCTTAGGGATATGGCCTGCTTCCTGTGTATAAGGATAATCCTTGGGGAATGGTCTCTAGCTTATGGCACACTTGAATCCTGCATGTATCTGTGTCGGTGTTCAGCAGCCTGTCAGCTCTGCTGACCTTGGGACCTTTAATGCACTTGAATTAATGGCCTGCCATGTGGTTTGGTAACATTGGGACCATACCCTTTTTACTTGTCAACCTTGGGCTTGTCAGCCTCTGCAGCCAGCAGCTGTGTGAGTGAGGAAAGCTTCTAGCTTCAGTGGGCCGGGAGCAGGAGACAGAGTTGAAGCCCAAGATTGAGGTGCTTTCACTCAGCCCCTAGAGCCCTGCACTTTGAACTCAGACTTAAAGCCTCCAAACTGTAAGAGAATAAATTCCTGTTTGTTCAAGCCATCTCATTTGTGGTATATTCTTGTCAGAGCAGCACTAGGTAACCAAAACATTATAGTAATTGTCCATTGGGGCCTCCACCCCCAGTTCTTATAACTTAAGGTCACAGGCAGGGCTATCTTTCCTTGCATGCTAAAGAGCCTAGCTCATAAACATGCATCTGTGGTTTGTATAGGTTTTTGTTCTGCTTTTATTGTATGCTAGTGCTCTGGGTGACTTTTTCCATCATCTTCATTCCTTTCTTTCTCTGCCCAGCCATGCTCTCTGTCCCATAGCTTCCACTCCAGATAGATATTCATGACCCAGAGTCAAATGGTAATGAGGGAAGTGAGGGCTAACCAAATCTTGCCAGACCAGTCACCAAATGGTCCTCCAGACACAGCACACATTGACTTTGACTTTTTAATCAATTTATCTTCATAATGAATGGGTGACAATTTAGCTCAAATATTAGGTCATGGCTAAATTTAGAGTAAATTTTCTTACCCCTCTCTCTATATATTATTAAAGACCAGCTTATTCTTGTTCCTAGATTTTTCCTTTCTCTATCCAAAGGCAGAAGGACAAACAGCAAGGATGTTTTAATGTTAACATAGTTTTAATTTGGATAAATACTCTCCCCAGGAGTAAGCATGGATCTTTACAACTATGTTCTTTCTTTCTTTCTTTTATCCACACTCTAAAGCTATATAGTGGTAGTAGGCAGAGCTCCCAAGTTTCAGCTTGGACTTGATGCAAGTATATACTCTCCCTTGTCAGTTTAATCTTGGCCCTCCACATGGCAATGATTGAGAAAACAACTCCTTAATTGTTTCAGCATTTTAGCACTAGAACCTCTCTGAATTTTAACCAGGCATATGGCTATCCAGATTAACACTGTATTTCCTAGATTCCCTTGTAGCTAGGTATAGCCAGGT